CTGCTGCAACACCACTCCAACCCAAACTCTGGTGACTTAGTAAGAAAATGGTACAATGTTTTATTGGCTTCCCAATTCAGTAAAGCGAATTTATAGTCTAAGGTAGGAATAAATAAATAAAATCAAAGTTTCAGAATAGTTTCTTTAACATTAAGGGAAATAATTAGATCTCTACAATGTGCATGGTCTGGCAGGAGCTTCTTTCGCAATAGCCAGACTGGATAAAGATCATACGGCACTCCAAATAACCAAAGAATTAGATAATCTTTACAGTTCAGGAGAACTTTAAGACAAATGTAATTTCACTGTTGCACTATGTACAACAGGAAATTCCTACTTATATTTTTTTCTTTGTATTTTATTTATTTATAGTGGGGGGAGAAAGAGAGAGAGAGAGGAAGGGGAAAGATATGTATCTTCTATCTGCTGGTTTACTCCCCAAATGGCCACAAGAGCCATGGCTGGTCCAGGCTGAAGCCAGGAAGCTTCGGCTCCACCCAATTCTCCCACATGGGTGACAGGGTCCCAAGTACTTGGGCCATATTTTGCTGCTTTTTCCAGGGAGCTAGACCGGAAACAGAGCTGCCAGCGTTCAAACCAGTGTTCTGATATGGAATGCCAGTGTTGCAGGCAGCATCTAAGCCTGCTGTGCCACAACGCCAGCCCCCATATTTACACTCTTCTATCTACTTTTCGAACTCTGCCTCTGGGGCAGACATTGTGGCCTAACAGGTAAAGCCACAACCTGCCACACCAGCATCCCACATGGGACCCAGTTCGTGTCCGAGCTTTTCCACTTCTGATCAAACTCTCTGCTAAGGACCTGGGTAAAATCTGTGGAAGATGTCCCAAATATCTGGGCCCCTGTCAGCTACATGGGAGACCCAGATGAAGCTCCTGACTCCTAGCTTTGGCCTAACCATTGCAGCCATCTAGGGAGTGAACTAGCAGATGGAAATCTCTGTCTCTGTCTCTCCCTCTTTCTGTTATCTCTGACTTTATAGAAATAATATATATATGACTTTATATAAATAATAATAAATAAATAAATATTAAAAACCAAAATGTCTGCATCCCACATCAGAGTGCTTGGGTTTGATACCCAGTTCCGGTTCCTGACTCCAGCTTCCTGCTAATGCAGACTCTGGAAGTCGGTGGTGATGATTCAAGTAATTGTGTCCCGACCACCCATGTGGGAGACCCGGATGCTGGCTTCAGACCACCCAGTCCTGGCCACTGTGGGCATCTGGGGGGTGAACAAGTAAATGGGAGTTTTCTCTCTCAAAAAAAATAATAAATAAATTTTAAAGATTTTTAAAACTCTGCCTCTACAGCACTGTGGGCACAGTGGGTTAAGCCACTGTCCACAATGTCAGCATCTCATTTGGGTGCCTGGTTGAGTCCCAGCTGCTCCACTCTAGATCCAGCTCCCTGCTAATGGCCTGGGAAAGCAGCAGAGGATGGCCCAACTCCTTGGGCCCCTGCACCCTCGTTGGAGACTTGGATGAAGCTCCTGGCTTTGGCATGGCCCATTGCTAGCTACTGTGGTCATCCAGGGAGTGAACCAGTAGATGGAAGACCTCTCTCTGTCTCCCTTTCTCTCTCTGTAGCTGACTTTCAAATAAATAAGTAAGTATAAAAAGAAAAATCCAAACTCAAGCAAAGTATAATGGGCAGTACATGGCTTTCTCAATATCCAAAGACAAACATGCAAATCTGCTTTTTCAAAAATGTCATAAGGCATCATGTCTAACTTAACACAAGCCACTAAGCTAGAGGTCATCTAAATAACAGGAGCAATTTGAAAACCTTCACCTCTATTACATTTCACAAGGAAAATTAATTTTCATTTCTTTGGTGGATTCTTGCCAATGTCACAATCAAACCTAAATTACTTTTGGGACACATTAGCTTTACTTCCAGGGTCTTCACTCTCCAACCACAGGGTCTTTTCTGAATGGATCCTCACAAAGGATTGTAAAAAAGGCACACAATTGAAAAGTCTTCCTTCTTTCCATTTCACATATTCATCCCAATCAATCAGCCGGTGTGGGGCGGGTGCTGTGGAGCAAGGGGTTAAATGACCAGCTGGGTCACCTCATCCCACATCCCACAGTCAGAAGGCTTTGGCCTGGCCCAGCCTTGGCTTTTGTGGTCATTTGAGATGTGAACCACCAGATGGAAGACCGTTATTTATCTATCTATTTACCTATTCATATCTCTCTCTCTCTCTCTCTCTCCCTTTCAAGTAGATGAAAACAAACTTTTTAAAAAATAAAGCAACTGGTGATTCCATCCCTTCCAAAGACATTCAACATTTAAGAGTTCACTCAAGGGGCCAACGCTCTGGCGAACCAGGCCAAGCTTCCGCCTGCAGCACCAGCCCCACATCCTCCCATACGGGTGATGGTTTTAGTCCCGGCTGCTCCTCCTCGCATCCAGCTCTCTGCTATGGCCTGGGAAAGCAGAAGAAAATGGCTCAAGTGCTTGGGCCCCTGCAACCGCTTGGGACACCCAGAAGACGCTCCTGGCTTTAGACTGGGCAGCTCCAGCCTTTGTGGCCATTTGGGGAGTGAACCAGCAGAGAGAAAACCTGGCTGTCTCTCCCTCTCTGGGTCTGTAACTCTAACTTTCAAATAAATAAAATCTTTAAAAAAAAAAAAAGAATTATGTTAAATAGTTTACAGTCATCAGAGCTGCCAGAACTTTCTTATAAAGAAGGCTATTACTAGTTATCAAATCTACAAAAAAAAAAATTGGTAAGACTTAGAATTGTTTTAATCATTTTCCAAATTTTTAATGTTTTGTTAGATTACAGTCTGTAGAAACTTTATTTGGAAGGCAGTTACAGAGAAATAGGGAGAGACATATCTTGCATCTGCTGGTTCACTCCCCAAATGGCCTCAATGGCCAGAGCTGGGCCAGGTGGAAATCAGAACAGCATTCGGGTCTCCCACATGGGTGGCAGGGGCTCAGCGCTATCCTCCCGAGCGCTTTGGCAGGGAGCTGGATCGGAAGAGCAGCAGGGATGAGAACCGCAGCAGGCAGTGGCCTGCCTCTGCCACGACACAACGCCTGATCCTGAAGAAATGTTTTAACTTTTCAAAAGGCCACCTTCTTCTTTATTCATGGTTCGAGAGCTGAAAGTCTACACAGCAAAGTGGTAAAACCCTAAATCAACCTTTCTTCTGGTGCACCCAGGAGCTGCCCCGACGCAAATGAGCTCATTACCACAGTAGGGGCTAGGGAGGTGACAGCATGGGCCTACTCTTTCTAGAATAAGAATTTAAGTTGGAATCTAAATGTAAGAATCTTGAACTAACCTTCAGTAAAGCCAAGAAACGCTTTCCAAATAAAGTGTGAAGCCATCGAGTTAAAGCTAACTGCACTTGCTTTAAGGGATGCAAAAAAAGTGGCAAAGGCATCTAAAGTTACTTAAAACTCCACCTTCCTGAAACTTCAGTACATTTTATACCTACATGCTTATAGTGTAAGCTGCATAATGAATAAACCCTAACTTTGTATCACAAAAAAACCGTAACCTATTACAATTAATGTATACATTCTGCACTTGTTGCCATCATGATTTGTCACAGCTAGGTAAGACCTAAGCAACAAAATATGGAAGCATGATGAAGGCCCTGAATCATTTTCAAGGTAAAAAGAGAGCAAAACGAAATGCATCCAGTCAAGAGCTAAATGGGTTCCCACACCCCAGGCCTGCTACGCCAGTTAACACCACTATTTTTACTCCAAATCACTAAACATAACAAAACTATTACCAAAAAAAAAAAAAAAAAAGGCATCTGAACCACAGAGACAGCCTGCCCATAAACGTGCTGGCTTCCTCCACGTCCCAGCTCACCCTCCACTACCAACAGCTCAATGAGACTGTCACACAATGAAATGAGTAAGCAGCGAACGCCATCCTACAACTTCCAGAGACAGCCACAGACCTTCCATAACACACTGAGGAGCCACAACAGCGGAGCGGCTCCCTGGCACAAACACGAATTCCTTAATTTTACAGGCAAAGTTGTCGAATGCCCATTTTTTTTCTGGTTTTTTGGTTGCTGGGTTTTTGTTTTTTGTTTTTGTTTTTTTCCTGAAAAAGCCAGTTCTGATCATGGAATGAACTGGGGGAATCCAGTGCTAGCGTAAGCTCAGAAAACAAACGAAAACCTACTGCTAGGCGAGTTACGGCCACCAGTTCGGCAACATTTACACCTATGCTGCAGCCGAATAAAAAGTGCTCTCCGCAGTGTGCCTCGTGAAGGAACACTGGCTACGTCTCCGAAAACTTGAGCACGCTTCTCCCCTCAGCTGTGCGGTCACGAGAAAAGAGTTGTCTTTTCGGAGCCGGGCGGTGCGGTGCTGGGTGTTGGGGGAGGGGATAAAGGAAGAAGTCAAATGGCTTCCTAATCTATCATTAAAGAAGAAAACACAGGTTTGGGAGCAGGAAAAGTTGAAGGAGCAGCCAGCTGACAAAGAAAACCCGCACTCGGCCTTCCGGCTCCCCTCCGACCCCACCCCCGCCCCCCGCCGCCCGGGCCCGAGACCACCTGGCCCAGGCGTTTTGACAGCTCGAGAGTTTCCCGAGACCCGGCCGCTTTGTAGTTGGCGAGAAATTCCGTCGAGGGGGACTGCCTGGGCGTGCTTCGCTGTTTGTTTTTTAAATTAATCCTGCTAGGCCAGGACGAACCGCGGAGAAATCCTCTCCGAGAGAGAGAAGCCCGGAGGAAAACGCAGCGACAAGGCCAAAACTAAAAAGTAAAGTGTGCGGAGCCGAGCGCCGGCGGGGAGGCCGGGGGCGCGGGCGGCCGCCGCGGGGCGCGGGCCGGGCCGGGCTGGGCCGGCAGCCGCCGCCGCCCGAGGCCCGCCCCGCCCCCACCCCGCCGGGGGGCGCCGGGGCGCGGGGGGCCGCGGGGCGGGCGCCCGGTGACAGCTCCGGGCCGGCGCCGCCGCTGGCTCCCGGCCTGGCTCCCTCGCACTCAACTTACTTCTTTCTGGCTCTCTGGAAAGGGGAAGCGCCATCTTTGCGAGGCCGGCCCCGAGGTCTTTTGTCTGCGGCTGCGGGGCTCGGGGCCGGGGCTCCGGGCTCCTCGGGGGGTGGTGGCGGCGGCTGCGGCTGCTCCACGCTCCGGTCCTCCTCCGACGACATCCTAGTCACCAGGAAAGACACATGGATCCCGGTCCTCCTCCTGGGGGGCGCCTCCCGCCGCCGCGGCCGCCGCCGCTGCTGCTCGGGTTCCTCCTCCCCGGCTCAGCCTCTCGCATTTCCCGCAGCCCCGGGAGCAGCAGCAGCAGGTACCGGGAGAGGCGGCAACATGGAGCGAGCAGGACACGCACTCACACACATCGGCGCGGGCGCGCGCACCTCCGCGCGCAGGGGCCGGCGGGGGGCGGCGGGCGGGGCGGGCCGGCCGGGCGGGGCGGGGAGGTGCGGGGCGGGCGGGGCGCCGGCGGGTGCGGGGCGCGCGGGCGGGCGCTGCGGGCCGGGGGCGGAGAGCCGGGCGGGCTGCGAGGGGCGCCGGCCCCCGGGGTCTCCGCCCGCGGCCCCTCCCCCAGGGCCGCCCGCGGCGGGGAGGAGAAAGGGGCCGCCGCCGTGGGGTGCTGAGGGGGCGGCCGACCCGCGGGGCTGGCGCGGGGGCGGCGCGGGGGTCCTGCCCCCGGCCGGCCGCCCCTCCCCCGCGCCGTCAGGCCCCGGCGACGGCGGCGAAGTTTTGACAGCTGCTCCAGTTGTTGTTGTGGGTTCCGGGGTTGCGCGAGCGCCGGCCCCTCAGCTCGCTCGCTCACACTCGCTTTCACACACGCCCGCTCGCTCGCTCTCCCGGGGCAGGGGAGGAGGAAGTTTTGCGTGTGTGCGTGTACCCCACACACACACGAGCGTGGCCGTCGCGCGAGGCCCTCGCCGGGGCTCCCCCGGGGCGACCCGCACCACAGACCTCTCAAACTCGCCGCCGTCTCGCCCACACACAACCGCCTCGCCGTCCTCCGCCCCCTCCCCCCACTCCTCGGCCCCTCACCCGCCCCTCGCGCGCCGCCGCTGCCACTCACGGGGCTCGCTCCGCGCATGCGCCGCTCCCCTCCGCCCGCGGACGCGCCGCCGCCGCTGACCTCACCGCCCCTCCCCCCGCCCCGGGGCTCCCTCCCTCCCCCTCCCTCCCCCTCCCTCCCCCTCCCTCCCAGCTCTGACGCGGCGGCCGGCCGGGCCGCGGCTCCGGCTCCGGCTCCGGCTCCGGCTCCGGCTCGGGAGAGAGCCAAGCTGTGGACAAAGAGATCCGGAATCGGGATCCAGGGAGGCTGGGGCGAGCGGTGTAAACACCCCGACGTGTACGCCGAGAACGAGGCTCGGGAGTGCCTCGGCAGCCCTCACGCGGCGTGTGTAGACGCTACCCGGAGGGGCGCTGGCGGCGTTCGCGCGCCGTGTGCTTTTCGTTTTAGTGGCTGTGGAGGGAAGAAATGGAGTTCAACTTCGCCGTAGTCCGGTTCCAGTTACAGTTTCGTTATTGTAACGTCATGTAAAAAAGCAATCCCGGAAGGTTTTGCAGAGGCAGAAGAGAACCGTGACGCGCAGAGGAGTAAGACGCCTAAAGGCAGGCCAGTGGCAGTGGGTTGTGATGGAGAGGCAGAACCCCAGTGTTTCCTGAGCCCCCTCTTGCCGGACGGAAGAAAAGTGGGGCGAGAAGTAGCCTGAAAGACGAGTTTTCCCCAGAAGAGCGGTCACAGATACGGAATTCCAGAGCGCTTCTGATTCTGACAGATAAGCCTGGACAAGGTTCCCTGGGCTGCCGGCCCTGCCCTGCCCTCCGACTGATACTGCCGGAGCGAAAAAGAAAGTATAGATTGGGACTGGGGGGAAGTATAAGACATAGCACACCATTTGCAGACGGCGTGGGGTCGACCGTCATTGTAAACGCACCTCCTATGCGGGCCTTGTGATGGGCACTTTCCGATCATCCTTCCTTTTCGTCTTCAGTGGCCGATGGAAAGGATTTGCTGGTTTCTCCAGCGGTGTGGCTCGCCTTCCCTTCTTCCCTGCAACCAGGAATTTAACTTTGAACTGTGTTTCCTATTTGGACAAAATAGACATAGTTTGATTTCTAACTGAAAGCATAGATTTTGTTTTTAAATGAGGAATTTGGTTAACATAGTCACTTGAAGTCCTTCAGGGTTTCTGCCTGCTGACTTTCGAGTTAACCGAATTCACAGCCAAAGGGACTTTGGGACTGGGGAGAAGGCGGCTGGTGTGGTAAATACAAACTCTAAATGAAAAGAACCAATTACACAGAGGAATGTGGCATATTTGAAGCTTGTTACTAAGTACAAGTAAGACAACTCAACCCTTTTTCACCTTTTTCTGCATGTTGCACATTAAATGTACACTTTCAAAAATGGATTATTGATCCAAATGTTTATTAGTGTTCAATGCTGAAATTAGAACATTCGTTTCCACTGGGAGTTTCATATGCACAAAATTCTACATCAAGATAGTTTACTTTGATACACTTCTTCAGCACTTCCAAAAATCTGTCAGTGCAAATTGCAAATTGCAAGTCAGTCTGGCTGGAGACTTAAAAGGAAACAAAAGAGAAACCAAGAGTAGAAAGGTGGATGGATGAATGGAAGGTGGCAATGGTGTGCAGTGATGCTTCTGCAAAGCTGATAAAGGTGACTGAGCCTGGCTTTAAGACTCCCTTCTCTTGGGCCACTATGAGCAAAGAGAATTGGGATCTGTTTTAAGAGGATTATAGCGGGCTCATTTGCATGAAGTTTTCATAGGCAGGGAAAATATATCCCAGGGTGCTCTGCAAATTCAGATTCAAGGAACACTTATTCAACATAAAGAAAAGTTTTCCAGAGCTTTTGCCATCACAGTCATCCAAATTACACAGCGCTGAGACCACAATGGCAACAATCCAGGAGGCAGGTAGCTGAGGTTCCTCAAGATCATGAAATCAGGACGAGGGATCAAGTGCAATTTTAAAGAATTAGAATGTCTGATTTCTTTTTTTTAATATTTTATTTATTTGAAAGAGTTACAGACAGAGGTAGAGACAGAGAAAGAGGTCTTCCATCCACTGGTGCACTCCCAGATGGCCACAACGGCCGGAGTTGCGCCAATCTGGAGCCAGGAGCTTCCTCCGAGTCTCCCGTGCAGGGGCCCAAGGACTTGGGCCATCTTCTACTGCTTTCCCAGGCCATAACAGAGAGCTGGACTGGAAGAGGAGCAGCAGCGTCTAGAACCGGTGCCCAAATGGGATGCCAGTGCTTCAGGCCAGGGCTTTAACCCGCTGCACCACAGCACCAGCTCCAGAATGTCTGATTTCTAATACATATACATGGTAAGTATGGATTTTAAAAACATACAAGGGGGAGCCAGCGCTGTGGCTCACTTGCATCCCATATGGGCACCGGGTTCTAGTCCCAGTGGCTCCTCTTCCAGTCCAGCTCTCTGCTGTGGCCCGGGAAGGCAGTGGAGGATGGCCCAAGTGCTTGGGCCCTGCACCCGCATGGGAGACCAGGAGAAGCACCTGGCTCCTGGCTTCAGATCAGCGCGGTGCGCCAGCCACGACAGCCATTGGAAGGTGAACCAACGGCAAAGGGAAGACCTTTCTCTCCGTCTCTCTCTCACTGTCCACTCTGCCTGTCAAAAAATAAAAAAAAAATTAAAAAATTAAAAAGATTTATTTATTTATTTGAAAGAGTTACACAGAGAGAGAGGAGAGTTAGAGAGAGAGGTCTTCCATTCGCTGGTTCACTCCCCAATTGGCCGTTACAGCCAGAGCTGAGCTGATCCGAAGCCAAGAGCCAGGAGTTTCTTCGGGGTCTCCCACGTGGGTACAGGGGCCCAAGGACTTGGGCCATCTTCTACTGCTTTCCCAGGCCATAGCAAAGAGTTGGATCGGAAGTGGAGCAGCCAGGACTCGAACCAGTGCCCATATGGGATGCTGGCACTGGAGGCGGCGGCTTTACCCACTACGCCACAGTGCCGGCCACACTGATATGGTCTTATTTAGAGTACAGTCTATTACTTTGTTTTAGTGAATGTAAAAATGTAAGGCTCTTCAGAAGTTTTCCAAGAGATGTTTTCCCTCTCTCTGTTTCCCATCAAGTCTTAAGTTCCTCAGGGTTTCTTTTTTTTGTTTCTAAACTTTCACAATTGTGGAAGAACAACTGAAAACTTAAATTTTAGATCTTATAATTTTAGTGTTTATATTTACTGAAGTTGCACTTTAAAAAAGCAGTCAACGGCTATTGCTTTTTGTCCTTTATTTTTCAATAGAAAAAAAAAACAGTTTTGAAGAATTTGTCACTTAAAATTAATTCGTATTTAGCCCAGACTACATGTTTAGCTTTAAAAATTCATACTGCTTTTCATGAGCTATGTCAGTAACAAATAACAAATAACTGGAAAGTTAAAGAAATTGAGAAGGACACAAACAGAACAATCATCTTCAAAAGAAATTTGTATATAAGAGTGTGAGGCCTAAGTAGATGTTATATAGATATGAATCTTGCCTGTAGAGGTCTATACATTAGGCCTGCCAGTAGTACTTAACAAGTATAAACACAAAGGACTAAACAAGGGAAAAACATACAAATAGAAAGATTAAATATTTACATCCATTGTGTGCAAGACCACAGTTTTAAAAGAAATGCATCTGTAGGGTTTGAGGGAAAGGGCGGGGAAGCTTGGAGAACTTTCTGCTGGACAGGGTCACAGGCCAGAGTCTCAAGTGACAGGGGTAATGATTATCATCATGGAAAAGGTCTCTTCCCTCTCCCCACTTCCCTTTCCCCCTCTTTTCTTTCCCACGCATTCTTGGGTTCATCTCCTTTGTAAACAACACTACTGTCTTACTTAGATCCCTAGGGCTGCTACAACAAGTTGCCACAAACTGGCAGGCTGAAAACAGTAGAAATGTGTTCTCGTACAGTTCTGGAGGCCAGACGTCCAAGATCAGTGTTAACAAGGGCTGCTTCCTTAGGGTAGGCATTGAGGAAGCGTCTTTTCTGTGCCTCTCTCTCAGCTCTCAATCCTTGGCTTGGGGTCGCATTGCTGCAGTCTCTGCCTCTGTCATCATATAGCCTTCTTCCCTGTGCCTTCACAGGGCAGTATCGTCTCTGTGTCAGTGTCTTCCCTTCTTATAAAGTCAGCAGTCATATTGAAGTAAAGGCCCACCCTACTCCAGTGTGATCTCATCTTAATTAAGCACATCTGTAAACAACCCTATTTCTGAACAGGGTCACACTCCGAGGTTCCGGGGGGACACGAATGTGTTCATGGGGGACACCTTTCAATACAGTCTAACTACCAAATCTATAATCTTGCTTAAGCATTGTAGTTGATAAAAATGTATATTTTTAGAAACATTTGCAGACTGAACTGACTATATGCAAACTCTTACTGTCACAAATAATTATCTACATTTATATCCAATCTGAAGGAGAAATAAAACCTTTAAAATAAAATTTGACAGGGGCCAGCACTCACCAGAAAGTGAGTTAAAGCCCTGGCCTGAAGCGCCAGCATCCCATATGGGCGCCAGTTCCAGTCCCGGCTGTTCCTCTTCCAATCCAGCTCTCTACTATGGCCTGGGAAAACAGTGAAAGATGGCCCAAGTCCTTGGGCCCCTGCACCTGCGTGGGAGATCCAGAAGAAGTTCCTGGCTCCTGGCTTCAGATCGGCACAGCTCTGGCCATTGCGGCCATCGGGGGAGTGAACCAGCAGATGGAAGACCTCTTTGTCTCTACCTCTGTCTGTAACTCTCTTTCAAATAAATAAAATAAATATTAAAAAATTTTTCTTTAAATAGAGTTTAACAATGACAATGTCCACATAGCAATAAATAAAACTGGCATTTGGTAATTCTGTGGTTAGTTTTATCTATGTAAAAATACATTTTTTTTATTTTTTTTTTTAATTTTTTGACAGGCAGAGTGGACAGTGAGAGAGAGAGACAGAGAGAAAGGTCTTCCTTTGCCATTGGTTCACCCTCCAATGGCCGCCGCGGCTGGCGCGCTGCGGCCGGCGCACCGCGCTGATCCGATGGCAGGAGCCAGGAGCCAGGTGCTTTTCCTGGTCTCCCATGGGGTGCAGGGCCCAAGCACCTGGGCCATCCTCCACTGCACTCCCTGGCCACAGCAGAGGGCTGGCCTGGAAGAGGGGCAACCGGGACAGAATCCGGTGCCCCAACCGGGACTAGAACCCGGTGTGCCGGCGCCGCTAGGCGGAGGATTAGCCTACTGAGCCGCGGCGCCGGCCCCTATGTAAAAATACATTTTAAAAATTGGTCCACGACCGGCACTATGGCATAGCAGGTAAAGCCGCCGCCTGCAGTGCCAGCATCCCATATAAGCACTGGTTCAAGACCCGGCTGCTCCGCTTCTGATCCAGCTCTCTGCTGTGGCCAGAGAAAGCAGTAGAGGATCACCCAAGTGTTTGGGCCCTTTGTACCTGTATGGGAGACCCAGAAGAAACTCCAGGCTCCTGGCTTCAGATATTTGCAGCTCCATTCATTGCAGTCATCTGGGGAGTAAACCGGCGGATAAAGACCTCTCTCTGCCTCTGCCTTTCTATAACTCTGCTTTTAAATAAATAAATAAATAAATCTTAAAAAAAAAAAAAAAAAAACTGGTCCACGGCAGGCTTTGTAGTACAGAAGGTTAAGCTTCTGCCTGCGCTACCAGCCTCCCATAGGAGCACTGCTTAGAATCCCGAGTGATCCATTTCCACCTGGGAAAGCAGCAGAAGATGGCCCGTGTGCCACCTGCCACCCATGTGGGAGGCCCAGATGGAGCTCTACACTCCTGGTTTTGACCTGGACCAGCACTGGGCATCGAGGCCATCTGGGAAGTGAACCAGTAGATAGAAGATCTGTGTGTGTGTGTGTGTGTGTGTGTGTCTTCCTCAGCTTTTCCCTGCCACTCTGACTTTCGAATAAATAATAAGTAAATCTTTTTGTAAGACTTTTTTTTTTTTATTTGAAAGGGAGAGTGACAGAGGCAGAGACAGAGAAAGAGAGCAAAGTCTTTCATGTTCACTCCCCAAATGGCCTCAACAGCCAG